GATTCAGCCATTCATTCATGTAACAACTATTTATTGAGAATCTATTTCATGCTAGGCCTTCTGCTAGGCCTTGGAATACATCGGCATATGGGTCCAACCTGGCTCCTAACATCATGAAAGTTACTATCCAGCCAAGGCAGTCATTGCATAAATACTTCATATTCTTCATGAGTGCTCTTATGAGCTGCTCCAACTTAATTGATCTCCCTCCTCCACTTTCACCATATTGCTGTAACCATTCTGATCTGCACGCAGGTCCTGGAAAAGCCTGTACTCTTTATACATCCTGGCCGTGGTCCCTGATGTTTCTTCTGATTGGAATTCCTTAATCATCTCACATATTCCTCCTCAGCCTTCGAGAATCAACTCAAGAGTCTCCTCCTCCATCAACAGTTCCCTGGCCTCCTTTCCACACCCCTTTAGTCGTCATTTCTATCTCCATTCATCGTGTACTGGTCACATCCCTCTATTACAGTGCTGATCACGTTGTTTTGTGACCATTTTTTAAGATGTCAGTCTTGCCTACACTGACTTATCGCTCTATCCACAGCGTAGTTTATTGCTCACAGAATAAATGAATGAATATCTGCTGCAATTCTGTATGGGTCAATAACTCCATTACGCTGATTACTTGGTTAATCAATGTTTGAAAACTTAAAATTTTTCTAGAGTTTACAGTGTAAATATATTTTTAGAACTTCCTTCTTTAAAGTCTGATTTCAATATATGGATGTTTTCCTTCATTAAAAATTTGCTCAGCAGCAGCCAATCTGACTTGGGATATTTGTCTTGAAATTGATCCAATGAATATTCTCAATTTCAGTAACTGCCCTGGCAAGAAAAAGCATTCAGGATTTCCAAAATCAATACGTTAGGTCAGTGGCTGTGGTACAGCACAGTTCATGCACGCAAAGCAGTGTTATACCGTGTGTTCCTGTTTCTCATTGCCAATCACTTTTGATGTGACGATAGGCTGACAGATGCCATAGATCTGTTTACCATCTCCCACTACCCCTACAGAAGGCTTTACTTTCTCCTTTTCAAATAATTTCAGGAAATTCTGGGGGAACAGAATGACTTTTTAAACAAGGCACTTTGAAATAGGTCATTGTTATGTAAGTGTAATACAGAACACATACTGAAGTTCTAAAGTTCCCTGTCCACTTTACCTTTTATCACTTCCCCAGTTAAGACTCAAGATTTCCCCACTTCTACTTTTAGGTTTCAGTCTTCTTGGGAAGACTTTTTCTAAATTCCATCACCATTAAATGTTTAGAACCACTGCTAGAACCCTAGTTCAAATCTGAACCAGTCTTAAGGAGCTTTGAGACTAGCTATAAGACCTGGGCAATCTCTACTACTCGCCACATGAGAATACTTAAGACCTACATCTCAGGTCATAGGAAGTATGAAATGAAAACAGTGTGCGTGAGAGGGGCTGGCATCAAGCAGGGGCTAACCAACTGCAAGGAACCTTCTTTTCTCTCTCTCTCCCCTCCCCAGTCCTCCATTTTGGACGTCACAGCAAAACTCACACTGAGCCATGAATGTGATCTCCTCACTAATCCACACCAAATTCCATCAATAGTTTCCCACACCCTAGGACAGTGGTTCTCAAAGTGTTGTCCCCAGACCCACAGCACCCGCATCAACTGGGAACTGATGAGAAATTCTCAGACCCCACCCAAGACCTCCCGAATCAGGAACTCAGGAGGTGGGGGCCAAGCCTGTCACTGTTTCAAAAGCCTGCCAGGTGATTCTGATGTATGCACAAATGTATGAACCACTGCCCAAGGAGACAGACTGCTACTGAAGGGTTTCCCAAACCAGTTTTTTTCCACTTAGCTGCACTTGCCCTTTCCGGACCTCTCCTAGGAAAGTTTACTCATTATCTTCCACACCTGCTTGTTACTTTCCCAACTGAGATTTTCACTCACTTGATACATCCTTTCAGCTCCGTGGCACCTCTCCTATTCAGGCCAGCTTAAATCCCACTGTTTTCTTAAATCCCTTCCTATCAGTTTCCGGGAACTTTTTCCTCTTTTAACTCTTTATTTCTGAGTACTCAGGTGATCTGAAGAGGTCACAAACTGGCTGTTCCTGGCCCACAGAGGGTGAGTGCATAACTGAATTGGCTGCCAGTAACATTAAAAATCTACAAAATCACAAAAATACAGGTTTTTAGCCTGTGTTGGAGAAAATCAGATCTATGTATGAGGGACCCGCATTCCCACATGGCAACAATCAGCTGAGGGGCAAATGTCTCAAGCACTCACCGGCACTTTCCGTGCCAAATACAGGTTTTTTACACATCTTCAAATATCTCAAGCTCTAACTTACATACCTTATGGTTACATAACTTCACTTTGTTTTATCTCTCCTTATAGAATAGAACAGAAAACAGCCCTTATCTGAACTGTCTTAGTCTTTTTTCTTATTACCTTGAACAGAAAACAGTATGAACTCCTTCTATATAAAAGAATATTCTGAACATTGTGGTCCCCAAAATGATGAGCAATCCACACAGGCTTTTAGGAAACTTTCGGTTCTCTACCAACCTGGAAAAGCTAGTGTTTGTTTTCCAAAATATATGTATTAGGGCACATCTCTTCAGGTAATTAAAAAAGACTTTGTTTAGGCCATTTTGGTTTAGGTTGTCCTTCATTTTCTAATCAGAAATACAAATTTATTTGAATCCAGTATGTCTGCTGGAAGAGACCTAGCCCATACCTGGCATAGTAGCTTACAAAACCTAGATGCTGTTTGGGACTTTCAGTTTGAACCCTAGTTTTATAGCGTGGGTTTTATTCCATAAAAGATGAGTTTTAATTTCACTCGGGTGGTAGTAGCTAACACTGGACTATCGTTCCTTTTTCCGATCCATCCTCTGGTTAATCATTCAGCAGGTTTGGCAGCGATAAAGAGACCAGCCACCTTAACAAAACTGCCTTACTGTGGCACAACGGTAAACTCATAAACCTGTGCAAAATGATGAAATTTTCAAAACGCTGTTTACAGAGAATTTCCTTTAAAGACAAATCACACTGACCTTCCCTTTGAACCCACTTTGCCGACGCCTGCTTGTCCACACATTTCCCGCACTCTCAACATCACCTAACTCAATATTCTCCTCTTCCTTCCCCTACCCCAGGTCCTCCAGGGGGCGCCCCCGACGCTGAGGCCGGACCCCAAGCGGCCTGAGCCGGGAGCCGGGCCGCGACTCCGGGCGCCCCGCGCAGCCCCCACCCCATACTCACCCTCCCGAGGCCACGGAAGTGCCGCCCCTTCCGCCCCGCCCCTTCCGCCTGTCCAGTTCACCCCGCCCCGCGCCGGCCGGCGCGCAGGCGCAGCGACCATCGCCGGTGCGTGGAGCCCGGGAGGGGCCGGGGGCCGGGGGCC